TACCTGGGCTATATTAGAATTTGTATTTAGGTTGTATTTATTCTTGTTTCAGTATTCTATTTTTGTGTGATTTAATAATTTTATCTAGATTCCTAGAACAGCTATAACTAATTTTTAGAGTACTGCGGTTGAAGATTTGACTTAATTTACTATTCGTAGGGAAGTGTTTGTTCATTAGATTTAAAAAGAAATTGTTTCCCAGTTTGGTAGAGACTAATTTGTTGAAGGGAGGTGTATACCAAATTATTTTCCTTCCTCGTTTGTTCTTTCTAGAGAAACTATAATTTTCCATATATTTAATTTCGGAAGATCTGTAGCCGCTGTCAGTAAGTCACTTTTGTGCTTTTCGAATATTTCCTTGGTAGAAGAGTGATGGTTGATATGACATTCAGAGGATGATGGGATATGCTTAATAGTCAGTGATGGGTGATGGGAATTAGGATTTATATAAATGGGGTTAGCGTTATTTTTCAAGAAAGTTTGAGAATTATTAAGGGCCAAGTTTAAGGTTACATCTAAGGAATCCGCTTATTTAATGTTGGAATTCATTCTAACTTTGAGGTGCAATGATTTAAAACCTATGAATCAATTTTCTTAACTTGTCTACCTTACTCCCAATAGAATTATTTACTACCATCAGGCCATCGTCCCTATAAATCCCTATATTATTTTAGCTAATTTTCTAAATTTTAATGTGTAGTGAGATTGTACAAAATAAATAGTCCGACTAAGTTAGATGACTCAGCAAAATCCAGCGATCCCATAGATACATCAAAGTTTTTATCCGATTTCTTTATTCATTGTTCGTTGTTGTGGATTATTATTGATTTTTTGCAATTTAGGATGATGCCGATTTCATCCTTGGAAATACTGGAATAAAATTCAGCAAAATCCAAAGCCATTTCAAAAAGGTTTTTGGATATGGATAGATAGAAGTCCACAATATCAAATTGGATGAAAGTACTGTTGTTTTTGTTATTGAGTCATTTAAACCAATCAATCACTTCTGTAGTGCTGACCCACTGGACGAGGCCGGGCTGGTTCTTAATCTGTTTGTTTACATGTTCCAGGATCGTTTTGCTGATTCTCTCGATTTCAGACTAAGTTGGTTTGATAATCCTTGTAGGTAGTTTGCTTAGGAAATGTTTATGGTCGTTGAGTAGAATGTAGGCTTTCCTAGTCGAAAGTTTGGGCACCCTATCGCTGATTTTCAGCTTATTGGTAATCTTCTTGTCCGATGAGTTGATGATGTTTACATAGTTATAATTATCTGTATCTATCTTCTTGTAACTCTTCGTTAAATCCTTTTTAACCAAGGTGTTGTAATCCTTTGGATCAAGTTTATAAAAAATTGCTGTCTTATCAGACTTTACAAATATTTCGTTTCAGTGGTAGATTTGTTTGACCACCGTGTCTAAGTGTTTTTGAAAGTTGTCCTTCTTATTGTGGAAGCTAATATTATTTATAATATGAAAAAGATCCAATTCAAATTTTTGTAGTTGGACGATGATTCTTTTAAATTTTTAAATCCATATGTATCCATTTTTTGGAGATTTTTCCGGTCAGTAAGGAAGAAGTAGGATCTCCATCACATTCTCCTGATTAAGTCTTTAGTTTTTTCGACTAGGTTTTGAAGGTACTCACGTTTGCTTGGGACGGGAATATTCTTCAGCGAAATGCCGAAATCTATTTTGTCCATGTTTTAGTCCGAATTATTAGCAACAGTGTTAAAAGGAGCAGAATATCCGAATGTAATGAGAACGAAAATAATATATAAATTATAATGTTAACAGCATTAATTCAAAAGAGGACTCAATATTCATATATATATATATATATATATATATATATATATATATATATATATATGATAAGATAAAGAAACATATATGAAACGTTTATCAGTTTATTGTGTTTCACTTTTATTAAAGCTTTATCAGAGAATAAAAATGAAACATGTTAAATCGATAAAAGTTTCCTATTTGTTCTTTATCTTATCATTCTGTCAGCTTCCGATTCATATTTGATTTATACTTGATCCCAACTATATATATATATATATTTTAAGCATTACGCCCCGAGCAAGGCGTGAAGCCACTAGGATGCAGGGGGTTGCAGAAGATTTGGAGCGAGATCAGATAGGAGTGATAGAAGAAAGGATGAAGAGAGGGATAGTGGATAGATCAAGGTAACTGGAGATGTCGATTGGCGTTACATTTGAATAGTTGGAGATTATAGCTCTCAGGGAAACAGTAATGTTTCGATATATAAAATGATATATGTCTATATAGCTCTATAGATATATGTCTATTATAGCTCTCAGGGAAACAGTAATGTTTCGATATATAAAATGATATATGTCTATATACTTTTTGCATACACACGCATATATATATATACACACCTCACAGTCGGTGGTGGGGTGTAAACGGTAGTGTCAGAGCTATGCCGCCCGGAACTTCGTTCCTGGTAGGGCCACCCAAGGCGGACAGGTCTGACACACACGCCGGCTAACAAGGGCTCTGGTGAAAATCCAAGGAGCGTCTGCATCGGTAACCGGCGGCTTCTGGTCGTTCCTGTCTTTACGTCTGTGTGAACCCCGCGGCAAGCAAGAACGTTATCCGAGTAGGCCTGGGTACCCTACTTCTGTAATTTATCCCAAGAATCTTCTTCTCATTACAGGAAGAAGCCGGCTCAATCCGCCCAGGGTGAATGCCGCATCAGTACAGTACAGTAGTATATATATATATATATATATATATATATATATGCATCCGTCTTAATAAGTGCCTCAGATCATATATATTTTCCACAGGCGAGAGGTGCGAGACACGAAGCTATTGGAGTAGAAGAGACGGCTACATTTAAAAGTTTCTACAGTGTAAGAGTGAGAGCGGGATGCCAGCCTCGTAGGGCGCTTGAACTCATGAAGTCTGGGAACCAGCGAAAACAGCTCATCGGAGCAATTACCATGAAAGTATTTGTAGAGAAGACAGAGAGAGGCGACGGCGCGTCTCCTGAGAGAGTGATTGTAGACGAGATGCCAGATCAGGGCCAATTATATTACATATCGGTCTCTGGATCTTGTCAAGAACCCCAAGGTAAACAGAAGGTGCCCCAGACCATATATGGCAGCAATTCTCCATGCAAGGGCGAATGGTTGATTTGTATATTTGAAGGATCGATTCCGGGGAGAAAAATTTCCTGGCGCGGCACAGAGGGTCAACTTTAGGTTGAGTATCCTTTAACCGAAATTCTCAAATTCTAAAACCTCCAAAATCCGAAAATTTTTCAGGTGCTGACATGACTTGCAACGAATAGAAAATTTCAGAAAGGGCTGGGAAGCTTTCTTTGTGATGCGCAACAGTTGTAAGTGACCTTCGTTCATGAATTACTTACCAGGTGTTTCATGCATATTTTTCAAAATGCCAAAAAGTCCTGCATTTATATATTTTTTGTAAGTACTAACCCTGTTTTTTTGTACATTTACAAATACAAAACATTATTTTTACATGAAAATCCGCGTGAGCGTTATCTCACTAGCATTATTACCGTATCTGTATGTACGCAAGGTTTATTAAATCTTATATCAAACGACTTTCAGGATATATGTTATTTATATAAAATTACCTTCAAGATATATGTATAAGCTGTGATATGAAATATAAAGGGATATTGTGTTTATACTTGGGTTCCATTCCCAAGCTAAACTATTTTATAGATGTTATATATATCTATATACATATGTGTTGAAACTTAAATAAAGCATGGAAAAATAATAATACAACACAAAATGTACTTAAACAAAATGTATTGACACAAGAACGTGTACACAATATTTACAGATAGTTTGGTATATTCTTGGGAAGACCGTTCCTGTAGAATGGGTTGACTTAGTCGCAATCGGGCAGAGTCTCTGGATTGGATCTCTTCTCCCTCCCCCGTCTTCCCGGTACCAACCATATTTATATGGTCGGTACTCTACTATGTAAATTAGGTGGATCGTACCACAACAATATGTTATATATTAAATAGCCTGTATTCCAGAATCTGAAAAAAAACTTCCGGCCCCAAGAATTTCGGATGAAGGATTCACAACCTATATATATATATATATATATATATATATATATATATATGTATGTGTGTGTGTGCGTGATACAGCGAAACAGTCTGTGGATGGCAATATATATATACTCTCGGGAAAACTGGTTGAGCTCTTTTGAGAAATGGCTGATTTTAAAAATAGTGGCTCCTACTGCTATTAACGCATTGCTCTTCAACAGAATTGAGCTCTCCTGACCACTGGCGTATTTCGCATAGAAAACTATAAAATTTTCCTTTCTCTCTGCTGTGCAACGATAGCCTAGCGGCAGGATCTCTGTCTGATGTCAAATCGGACGTTTAGCCACATTGAAGATCTGGGACAAACAGTCTGTCTGTGGATGACAATATATATATATATATATATATATATATACAGAGGTATATACTTTTCTCTCTCTCTCTCCCTCTGTCTATCTATCTATGTTCATATCTATCCGTGTCTCTAAATATTAGGTACGCCATCTCCTACAATCCGAAATATGTTTTGACATTAAATAACCAAGAAAAGATTAGTAAACCTTCAAAACAAATCAATCAATTAATGAACTCTCAATATTAGGTATGTGTCGATGCTGCAATGTATAGTGGCTCGGAATAGGAAAATCGGAGAGCCGAGTTCGAATTCCAGTCGACTTCGTTACATTAATTTATGCGGAAATACTTTTGAGAAAGGTATGAATCATTCTTCTTCCCCGGGTATGGGTTAAATAGTCGGAAGTGTATCTGGAAAAAATCATTGTTATTTTCAAAAACTTGATAATGGAATATTCACTCGCACAAAAGGAATTTATTCTTACAGTCCAAAATATATTTCGGTTTTAAATAATCCCCAAAGGATTGATAAATAATAATAATAAAAAATTTATCTATCAATATTAGTATTTCCTTCTCAG